ATTATTAACTTTCATTGGTTCTTTTGAGACAAAAATGTAAATTAGTTCAGTTCTAGCTACTCACAAACGAAGGATCTTTAATTAGAAAATACAAATAATTAATCACCTTAGGATTGTGTTTTCCAACTCTAAATCGAAATGTTCACTAGATCTAGAAGTATATCATCAACCTACAAAGGTGCCGCTTCAAACGTTAAAATCATCAGGGACAATTCTGAATTCAGTAATTTTGACTTTGGTTTCTAGAATTTTGCCGATCTAAAAATCAGCCGCATCAAACTTTCCAACATATTCTACGGGCACTAATTAACTAACTTTTGAAATTTCTTCCGTTGCCATCCTCAATCTATATCAATAGCCTGAATTTCGTAAGGAAAAAAAAAGCTAATTAAAAAGAAAAAAAAACAAAAACAAAACAAAAATGAAGATGTCCAGCAGCATGACTGTCATGTTTGGTCTCTCTTGGCCATCATCTCAGGTATATATAGATGCTTACGTTACATCCTTCTGTTTGTAATGTTCATCCTCGGTTTCCTACAAGATTGGAACAGATATCTTCTTCCGATGGCGTTTTTAAAAGAAATCTTCTTCCGATGGCAGTATGAGGTCGGCGGCGCTGATACCCCTAGGAAAATTGATCGAATCGACGGTTATTGTTTCCGAAGTTCATTTAAAGCTGGAGGATGCTATAACGGCGGGAATATCTAAGCAGCGGTGGCGGTGGCCCTGGGGAGATGGGACGGTTGTCTTCCGGCCATGGATTGTCCAAAAGAGATTACTACAGCTGAGGAGGAAGGAGACAAATTGTGTAAATGTGCGACTTCACATTGAATTGGGCCTCCAACAAATCTGATAGACTTCTTCTTATTGAGGCCCTGAAATCTCTATTTTCTTTTCGATTTTCATATGCATAGCGTCGTCTTGCCGGAGCCAGCAAGATATTCGACGACGGTCTATATAGAATAATTGACGGTAAGTAAATTTTGGTTTAAAATATTTTCTCCTAATTTTATTTCTTGAATTAAATCTTTTTCTGTAAAAATTAAAACTTTTATCGTTTTTAATCAATATGCGCATCCATGAATTCCAGAATCAGAAAAAGAGAAAATTTACGGAGTTTTGGACTGTCAATTGGAGGCTTGTGGGCGGCGCAAAACGAGTGTCTTCAGCTGAAAACGGTGGTTGAGGCACTATTCTTCGAGCAATTACAGCTCCGGCATGTTGTTCGGTGGACGTTGCTGCCGGCGCTGGAGATGGGTGTGGGTGAAGTTTGGGTGAGAAAGAAGGACATTTAACTCTTTTCAGCTGTTTTAATTTTGACTTTTTAGAATGTGGAGTATTTTTTTGGAGACAAGATATTTTATCAAACTGGACTTTGTGAGACGGAGAGAGTATTATATGGAAAATGATATGTGTAGTGAAAAGTTATAGTGAAACAAATAGTGACTTATGTGTATTTCCGATTTTATTGTCACTTTGCCGTTGAAATTTTATCTTTCTCTCTGAAATTACTCTTTTGCCCCTAATTATTATGTACATATGAGTCACTATGCATTTTCACTATCTCTATCATTGCTCTTATTATATATTCACCTTCAAATCTTCAATGAATAAGTATTCACTTTTAAGACTATCAACGTGGAGTATAATGAAAATTTTTGTATCTCACACCATAATAATTATGAAATGGACGGAGTATTATGTATTCGTGTGTCTCGTGTTACTACTTTTTGCTAATTATGAACTTTTTTTTTAATGATACAGTGAACATGATGGTGAATCAGGTGGAAGTGGTGGAAGGTGCAACTTGCTACCATTTTATTGAAAAAATTACATGCCCCGACCAAATTCCAACACCGGAATGTCAGAACACATGCAAGGAGAAGTGCGGGCAGGACGCTGTCGCCGGAACGTTCAGAAGATGGGGAAAAAGGCCAGGTTTGCACCTGCAGCTTTGCAGCACCTGACTGCAAGAATCAACACGTCTGCAAAGAGTGAATTTTGAGAGGTGGTATAGAATTTGTTCTTCATTATATATATAGCATCCACACCGGAGATTATAAATTTAGGACAGTGTTTTTGCGACTGACTTCCGGTGATACGTATCTAGATACTAGATAGGGAAGCAGTGTCCATCATTGTCCATAATTCTTTCTTTCTTTCTTTTTCCTTTTTTTCCCCCTTTTCGCTTGTAATAATTTCACTTCCCCTGAACTTTCAATATATCATCATCATTTTGTTATGCTAAAAACATATTACTCAGTTAATGATAATACTATATTTGTATTTCCATTACAGAAACAAATAAACTTTATATATATATATATATATATATATATCGCCTCGTTCTTTTCTGTAATTTTTTAGCACTTCATAGCCACATTATTTTTTTTTTTCCATATCCAGCGGGTGTGTAAGGAGTAGGTATGCCATCGATTTTTGAACCGCCCATTTCGGTTCTAGAACTTGCGGTTCCGGTTTAACAAAAATAAGACCGGAACCACTCTTTCATACAATGATTCCGATTAGAATTTGAGAATCGCGAGTTCTGATTTAGTTTCGGTTTAGTTTTGGTTATGTTATGTTTTCTAGTTTTAAGTTGTGGCATTTTCGGTCGCAATATTTGGATTTTTTTTCTTTTTTTTTGTTTAATGAATTTTTTAATTTTTTCTTTCTTTTGAAAAATAATATATAATGTGGAGTAAGAAATTCAGTTTTTTTTTTATATTTGAAAAATTTGGACCGTACTTAGTGTATATACCCCAAATTTTAATTATATGAAAAGCAATAGATGATTTGTGTCATATTTAAATAAATAACTATCCAACAATTTAACTGGCAATTGAGGTGGCAATTGAAACGTAGGTTTGCTTTGTTACTTTTTAAACAACGCTAAAATAACTATATTGGTGTATTTTCTTTCTATTTTTTAAGTTATGAAAATTAAACGATAATTGAACTGCTGATTTTTACGATTTAAAAGTGATTTTAATATATAGAATCTCAACCAAACTACTAATATAAGGTTCGATTACATTTTATGAACCTTTAAAAACGATTCAAGAGCTAAAATCTGATTCTTTCGGTTTGGTTCCGGTTCGAACCGGAATCTTGGGCATGCCTAGGGAGTGAACCCTTGTTTCAAGAAAATAAACACTAGTTAATTATATTAAAAGTTCCATTTTTATTGATTAATTTTGTAGTCTACTACGTACCAAGTACTAATGCAAGTGCAATTGCTGCATAATTATGTGTGAGTATCGCCACTTCGATCCTTGATAAATAACGATGATAATAAAATAGCAAAACTGAGATTCCATATAGATTAGACACAAAGAATTAAAATCAAGACACATATTACCCAAGTCGCGAATCAGAGATAGACATGTAGTAAAGCTGACAGGCAAATAAAACCCACTAAATTAATTAACCGCTGATTTAATATTTTTTGAAAGCTACTCCCAATTCATTTTGAGCATGACAAATTGTCTTCCATTTTAAATGACACAAAAGTCTCATATATTGGAACAGGATTCCTTAACATCCCCAAAACCATCAGATAAGTCTTGCCACCGGCCGGTAGGAATGAGACTGTACACGTGGACAGGAGGATTTTCCATCAAGGAAACAACTACACGCTAATTTTTTGGATTTTGTATAGTTCATTATAAAAAAAATAATCCTTTGATGTGTAGTATAAATATTGATTGATGAATATATTTTAAAATTTTCACGTGTTAACTCAAATCTCATTGGTGACACAATTTTAAGAATTAATTACAAAATAGTCAGCGTGTTCAAACATTCTAATTAAAATTAGATCAAAATTTTAGTATTAACTTACGTGAACAAACATTCTACGCGCAATTAATTTCTTGACTTAAATAAATATACGTTATATGCATATCGATCCACAAAAATCTTGAGGTTCATTACACACCACATGTGAAGCATTCTTAGGTTATATATATTGAGAGTTGGCAATCGAATTGCGACTACTACTACTACTGCTTTGCAAAACATAAAACAAAATGAAGTCTTCAAGCTGTATTGCTCTCCTAATTGGTCTCCTGGTCATCCTCTCAGGTAATAAACTATTGTCTGTCAAATATTTGTTGTATTTTTTTTTATTTTTTTATTTTTGCCGGTTTTCTTTGAATTGTTTAGTATGATTATCAAAAAAAAAGGTATAATTACTTCTTTTTAAACTTTGTGGTTGGGATGGCAGTGATGTTTCCTCCGGTGGAAGGTGTAACTTGCTACCATATAATACCGGAAATTATATGCGACAACGGAGATGTTAACCCGGTTTGCTTACCAACATGCAAGGCACGTTGTGGTGACTCAACCAACGCCACCACCGTTGATCAAGCTGGTTTTCCCGGTCCGATTTGCGCTTGTTCGTTCGAAGCCCCGGACTGCACTACTCAACGCGTTTGTCAACCGGCCGGGAAGTAATTCAGATCATTTGTTCCGGCAACTCACAATACAACAGCTGGGAGACTAATTACTAAAGAGGAGTTGCCGGTGTTTGACTTCCGTTTGTTTTTTTGAACGGGTTTATCGGTTAATTATTTGCCTCTTATTACAATGATCTCCCTTAATGTGAACACTTTTACTAGAATTTAAGCCGTTGATATAATTGTTTAATGACGTTAAATTTTTATAAGATGTCAATCAAAATTTTCCTTTGACGAATAGAAGTGTACACTATTTGCCATTACTTCCAGCTGCCCAACCACCCATACACAGCGTGTGAGGCTGGTTGGCTGCTAAATCTGTTTTAGTGACGCATTATTATCATATCACTCATCAATTATTACTCATTTTACCTCAAAATAATTGTTTAAGATCTATTCTATTTTACAGTACTATATTTTTCCCATATTTATCTATACATGATTCGTTTCCCTATCCTCAATATATTTACTTTTAGAGATCAATCAATATAATTAAGTTTGTTATAGTACCACTTTTAATTTACATAGTGGTTCGTGTGCCTAAAAAATTACTCAAATTAATTTGGGATGAAAGAACGCTATAATTAGCTATATCCTACTGATCTTACAGGCTTGACGGACTTAAGGAAACTTTAGCCCTCTATCTTTTTGAGTTTTAAGTTTTATTGATAAATTCTCCTTTGACGTTGTTTTCTTACTTCCTCTGTACGTAATCTGAACCCACGATTTATCGAGATCATGCCTTAATTTATCACTACTTCATCGCGCCTCATTGTCTACATATACATAACACTTATTATGAGATTTTTGTGTAATTTTTAGTTTTCAGAGTCCACGAAAATTGATACCATTGCGATAGTACTCGAAAGTGAAGAGAATATAACTTTGTCAAAAGCAGCCAGAGTCATGATCGTAATTGCTGGCATCAACGATTGAGGCGGAATCTAAAGATAGATAATTTTTGTTCATACCCACAGATAAGGAATAAGTGAATTTTCCAGAAGATGTGGACCCCTTCAACTGTTGATTCACACGAATGATCGAATCGAAGTTGACATTTTATATTTATTATTACATTAATATAATTATTACATTGGGAAAAAACAAAGAGAAAAGATTGGTAGTCTTTTGTCAAATAAGGAAAACGATTATATGTATTCTCTATATCAAAACAAAATGGACAGAGCAAATGACATTTTCCTCAAATATTTGGGACAAAAGAAATGAAGAAAAGTTCGACCAAAACATAAATAAATAAAATTATTTTTTCGTGAATTATTTTCTCCTTAATAAATTGGTTGGAGTGCATTGTGATCCACTGCATCTTGAGCTGATGATGAGCTTGAGCATGCGTCCATGCGATTTATTTAGTTATGTAACTCATCCAATGAGGCTGCAAAAAATGCCCAAAAAAAAAAATGTTATTAGTTAATGCATTCTCGAGGACTTTTATTAGTTGTTTAAAATAAAGAGGATTGTACATCACAAAAAGTGAGAAAAGAAAGATATAAGACTTGTGCATGGGGGAAAAACAAAATCTTCCCATACATTTAAAATGTTGTTAGGCTTTTGCTTGTGAATTAAATCGTCTTTTTTTTTTTCCAGTAAAAAATTTACAACTATATATGGCCAAAAAAAAGGTGCTAAGTAGTATCTGAAATGTAGGATAATTATTTATTTTGGTTCTTTTTGTGTTAGTGAAGTTCCTAAAGAAAAAGAAAACAATTTCGCAAATATATATAGTAAATAAATTAAATTAAAAAAAATTCTTATTGGGGTTTACATACCTTTAATTTGTTTCTCACCGCAATCGGCATCACATTTCATCTCGCAGAAAGTATAACCATTGCCATTTTGGTTGAAGCAGCTCTTATGGCAGTTGTCGTAGCATTCTTTAAATTTCTCCTCAACGCCTTCTGCCTGAGTCTTCTCAATCTGCACCGTTGCAGCCACGACGATGCACAGAATCAATACTGCAACGAATTGTTTTGCCATTTTCTTGAATTAATTGAGATCTTTTTTTTTATTATTATTATTTTTCTTCTTCTTATTGTTTCTGTTCGTATTTTCACGCCTGTGATCGATGTTTTTAAAATGAGTTTGATTCGGAAATTTAATATGGTCTCGAGCGGTTTCGGGTTGATGGATGGGCCTTAAATTGTGGAAATCTGTGTGATTTGCTTTTTTCGATCCCCCCGCTTTTGGTTACAGCAGAACTAGAATGAAGCTTTGTTTTATTTTCATCTTTTTAGTTGATGGCTTGTATATAACATTCAACTACAATGAAGGGTTAATTGCCACCTAGAGAGGGATCGAGTACGTTTTTTCTTTTTCTTTTTTTGGAAAAGGGGATCGAGTACGTTACTTGTTCCAGATATTCAACTTCAACCATTTGAATTTAATTCAAACATGATAATGATTAATTATTCATTAACATTTGTCGCATCATTTTCTGAATTATTCAATTTTACCAATTTAAGTGTATACGTACATAACAAAATCATACTTATCTCAATTGCTATAACAAACTAACCTAGCTACTTCCTAAGCACCAATAGGTGCTAAGATCTCAAGCAAAAAAAAAAACACAAACTAGACTATGTAACTACATTCTTTGTCATGGCATTTCATCAGTTTCCTTCTTTCTTTCTTTCCTTTCTTTTTATTCGTTTTAAAAAAATTTACGACTAAAAAGTGTAAAAGGCTCGCATCTTATCTTATCTTATAAATCTATATATAATTTAATAATAGAAAATTCAGATAGTGGAAATTGAGATAGTTTTTCACTTGTCACATAGGACCGGCAATTTTCTCCTTTTTTTGATTTATTATATTAAAAAGGTAAAAAAAATCGTTAAACCTTCAGTAAGAGAATAAAGAAAAACCGATAGAAACCTCATGTTAGAATATATAGATCATCGGTCGGATCTTCAATAAAAAAAAATAAAAAATAATAATGAAAAAAAGTCAAACAAACAAACGAACCAAATCATCCCTCAACCCAATCTTAACCATTTTTTTGCATATCTTCTTCTTTATCAAATCTTCCATTCTAACAATAAATCTTAAAGAGTACAGTCCCAATTTCTTTAGTTTCTGAGATCTGAAAATTCGATTCAGGATTTGTGACCCATCTTATATTTTAATAATTGTATTACTTTTAATATTACTTTTACTACCTAATACCTAATTGCTATCACGTTTAATATTTTTGAGCGTTTAACTGATTATTGAATTTGTTCCATAATTTAAATATTTTATAATAATAAATTTAATTAAATTTATTATTTTAATATTAACTGGATAGACTCCATAACTAATGCAACTACTGTCAAACTAACTTAATCTGCACTTTTGGGGAAGAAACTATTGAATGTCTTGATTAAATTCCTGAAAACCAGCCAGAGATTGTATTTTATTTGATTTTTTGTCATAATTATTAATATGATAACTACGGCAAGTTTCAAACTTTCATATTCTATTAACTATGTCATGTGTAATCATAAAAATATCATTCCTTAAATTTGAAGTAAATTCGATTCTTTTTTTTTTTTTTACTCTGTTATAAAATGAATAGTTGACTTTGTAAATGTTTCTATTTTAGTACAATTTATTACTCCTTCTGTCCCAAAAAAATAGTCCACATTGAGTTTTGAAATTTGTACAAAAAAAATACAAATTTGCAATATCAATGTGGATTTTTTTTTGGGACAGAGATAGTATATAATATTGTGGATTATAGAGTACATAGTAATGACTTTGAAACTTTATTAATTAAAAGAATAGGTGAACATATTAACTAATCCGTTAAATTTTGACAATAATTATCCTCAGAAATGACCTTTTTTTTTAATTCTGTTAAAAATCATAAAATATACATATATTACTATACATAAAAAAAATTAAATAAAGATAAATTAGCACGTAAAAATAAATAATCATATATCTCTCCTAAATAATTTGATCCATATCTAAACTAAAATCAGATTGATTTACAAAACATACCTAAATTTATGCACGGGTGAGTTTTCTCAAATAAAAGGCTAAAACATTATCTTTTATTAAGTCATCATTTTGCTTTCTCCTTTACACTTCCCCGCTCTTATATGCCAATTGCGAACTCAAGCAAATTGAGTCCAAGGTACACTTTCAATTCTGTGATATGGATTTATTCTAATTTGTTTTATTATTATTATGTCACTATTTTGCAAATGATTAGAGCTTTTTATCTTCTGATCACGTAGAGTGAATGCCTTCAGGTGTGGATATTTACAACATCCCTAAAAACGTAAGTTCAGGGATAACAGTGTTTTAAACACTGAGATTTTTTTATTTTTCTACTGTTTTTGAATCATTTTGTTTTAATTTTTTTCACAACCTTCTTATGGTAAAGTGATTTGCTGTGAATTATATGCAGACCAATTGAAAAGAAGTTGACTGTATGTTTCAAAGAAGATCAACATAGTCTCCTACAATTTTCGGGGGAGAACAAAAGTGAGTGTATTTAGAAGTTTGGAATGGGTGCCAACAAATACCAAAAAAAGAAGGTTTTTTCTTATAATTTGAGATACAAACGTTTCAAGTGCATTAATAATTTTAATGGATTTGTGTGTTTTTGGTTTCCCAAATTCTGATCATGAAGATACTACTTCCACTCCGTTCTTTTATACAAAAAGTAATTTTGGTATCCAAATCCTGATCAAGAGGATACTACCTGTATCCTCTATAATATAACAAGTACGTGAAATGATCTTTTATTCCTATTAGAGATTCTACATTATAAAAAAAGCATTAAATGTGGCTTTGTAGAAGGAAGCCAATGAAATGTTTGTAGTTTTTCCAGAAGTTCATCAAGGATTAAAGAGAAGGATGGTAGACATCTTTATATGAAAGGTGTTCTGATAAGTTAAACCTCAAGAAAGGTGTTCTAATTATATTATTCAAAAATGTTGACCAGCAAGTTATGTTTGTACAATGATGTTATAATTCGAATTCTAAAGTAGAGTAAATGTATCATTCAAGTGATATAATAATTAGACAATAATTGACAAGCCGTCGTCACAACTAGTCAAATAAATTCATCTACTTAACACTAGTATAGCGAAAAATAGGGTCGTACCCACATAGAAGGAACACTAATTACCAGGTATAAATTAATCATATTATTATCTAGATAAATGATGATCTCAAATTTTCAATTAAAATAAAACTAAAGCTAGAATCTAAAATATGCAATTACTTTCAAAGGTTAAAACAATCAAGTTGGGAAAACCTAGGACATTGGGTTCACCTACTGAATATTTGGTTTAGTTCAATTCATAAGTGTTTAACTTTTAACTTCCATTGATCTCACAACGACTCACCTAATTAAGAACTATACACTCTCGTGTTATAATTCTGTTACTTAGATTAACCCTATGACTACTCTCGTGACTATAGGGATTAAACAAAAGCACATTAAGACCATTAAGAATCAAACATTGCAAAGGTTATAATCTTACTCTCGTAGCTTACAACCTAAGTCTATTATTCCTACGAACCAATACTAATCTTCCACTCTCGCTACTTCGATTAGTATCTTCAGACATGTAAATAGTGGTCAATTACTTGCACGAATTAAAACAAGAATTCTTACAAATATTAATTAATGGAAAAGTCAAATAATAATGAACCAAATAAACCAAATAAATCCGGCGGCTATATCCAAGCCCTAGGTTAAAAGAATTTAGCCACTAAACATTATCAAAAATAATTTAATAAAATTTAGAGACATAATCCTAGAAATCTGAATTAAATAATTAAAACAAAAACAATAAAACCCGAAAGATTACGATTGCGCCGAAACCAAAAGCTAGAAATCAATTCAAAGCCTGCTGCTTGCTTCGGTGGTGCTGCATGGTCAGGAAGGTGGACTCGCGGCGGCTGCTGGGATGATGAAAGATGATGCTCCCGGTTTGAGGTGATGGGGAAGGAAGCGAGATGGTGATGGCGGTGATGGGATGATGATTAAGGTGGTGATGATGGGATTCGTGGATGATGAACTGGAAGCAAGGTTAATGGAAGCTGGTGATGCTGCGTGGTGATGGGGTGCTGGAGCTGGGTGGGCAGGAAGCTGGTGGAAACGTGAGGGTGGTGGTGCGGTCTCGGCGGTGGTGCTGCGTGGTGATGGGGTAGAGGAAAGGTGATGGAGTAAGGATGATGATGGCTAAGGTGGAGGAGAGGTGGTGGTGATCGGCGGAGGTGATCAAGGAAGCAAGGTGGAAACGTGAGTTGCAACGGCGGAGGGGGTTTTCATCCGTGAGGGTTTCGGTAAGTTTTCGGGCCAGTTCGGTTGTAAAAACAAAACCCTAATCCTCCTTTTATAGGCTTCCGTCAAATCCTACTACTTGGAGAGGAAGAAAACTTGTTTCCCCAAATAATATTGGGATTAAAATTCTTACCCAATTCAACTCCAAAAATAGCCGCACCACCTTCACGTTTCGGCCAAACCCTAAAAATAAAACAAAAATTACAATTCAGTCCTCTAAATCTTCAAGTGTTCCAATTTCTTCCTTGTCAATTTATCAAATCTTCAATTCTCCCTTTGAGTTACTTTTATCTTCATTTTAGCCCAAAATTTTAACAATTCCTCCATTTGAGTACAATTCCTACAATCAAATATAAAATCACATAAATAGCACATTTGTACTTAAAATATTGACAAAATTTCACATTCAGGGATATTAAAAATAGGTAAATTATAAGCATATCAATAATATCTTCTCTTTATTTACTTTACTTGTGCTGGATCTCACTTTGTCTAATACATACTAAATATCCATTCAAAATGAAGAGAAGAGGGCTTTATTTGGCCCTCAATTTTGCAATGATGATAAATAAAAGTTAAGATTAACGTGTCTTCTGAGTTATATTATGCTTGTCCTAACTAATTTCACATGCATTGTATCTTACTTTTTCTCATCTACACACCATATATTTGTTCAAAATTAAGAGAAGAGAGCTTATTTGGCTACTTTTCTTTCGAATAGTTATAAATAAAAGTTAAGATCGACGAGTCTCCTAAGTTGTATTATATTTGC